ACTTTGAAGAGAAAAAAGAGGGTCTGTGAACAGGCTAAGCAAGACAAATTACACAAGAAAACAAATTTGAAAGTGACAAAAACAGCATGCTGCCAGATCTCCCCAAGAAGCGTTAATGACCAGACTTGTTCTTAAATGAACATAACGCAGGATGACAGTCGTATTCGCTAAAAAGAAAAAAAAAACAAGTTTTCTGGGTTTCGCTTGCCGGGCAAACACAAACATCTTTTCAACGAATCCAAACTATACTCCATGTTTTTACGAACATTTGAGTATTTAAGACTATTTTGCCTTTGTTTCTGCTTAGCTTTCATTGATCGTTAACGTATAAACATGTGTATAAATAAGCAGATTTTCACCGCCAGTTTTCCAAAAAAAAGTTTCTTTCACACAAGACTACTGTGGCGTGTTTGTAACCAGCCAATAAAAGCTTTTTTTTTCTCTGTGCCTTGCGTTAACGATCAACGAGCAAGCGTTTTTCTTGAATATGTGGTGCACTTGGGAAATTTGGAGAGCACTTAGAGAAGCTAGAGTTGCTCAAAGAGTAACACTTCTTTCGCTCCTTTCGTACTCTACAAATTTCCAGTGTGCATCCATAACTCAATATACGCTCGCTAAGCATGAACATTTAAAAAATATGATTCCTGTGAAAAGTCAGGAAACCGGCGCACGAAAAACAAAGTCGAGTGGTGTCGCGCAACCTATCTCACCCGAAGCCAGAGGGTAAATAAACTGCTAAACTGCTTATAGTCAGGTCTCTTAAGGTCAGGATCGTTACAGAGCTGACAAAAGCACCAAACTTTGCACAGCGATAGCTTATTGCAGTACCATGAATATTAGAGGGGTGCCCAATGGAAATATGCCACTGAAGCGTGCTAAACAGGATTTAATTATTGTAAATTTCACCTGCTGGGGTGCCTGTGGTGTTTTGATTGAAAATTGTTATTTAATACCTTAAATCACTCTGAATGCTATTCTCATGTTGCAAACAACAATTTCACTCGAAAATCTGGCATTCCCATCCATTATTAGCTTATTGATTGTATAATTAAGTTGATTATTACTGTGCCCTTAAAGCAAGTCCACAGTCCGCCCACGTTTTCATAAGTCATTTCTAAGATGGCCTCGTCTTTGCTTCATAACTTGCAAGTACTCAGCTTCTGGGGTTCTCTCCTCCTTTTCTAATGTACTTCAATTAGAGGAGGCCTTATTGTGTGGCTTAAGTCTTATTTATCAAGTATCACTTGTCATTGCATGTCACTTTAAGCTAAAGAAAGCGTATGGCATAGCGATTCACACACAAAATTTCAAAAGAAAGAAATTGTCAAAGAGTCTGTTGTATCACATATTATCAGGGATTTATGACAGCTATTCATGAAGAGCAAATAACGAAATAACAGAACCCCAAATAGTTCTTTCCTAGGGAGGTAATTAATTTTTCAGCTTAACATAGGCCTGGATGCCTTTCAGTCTCTCTTTATCCAGTTATCTCCTGGACGCAAGTGCATGTTTTGACAGAGAAGCAAGCACCGTGGCACAAGTCATATCATTTACAATTCCCGCAGTTTGTCTAAGCTTTACAAAGCAAAAACAAACAAAAAAGAATCTGGTCTCATAAACGAAAAAAAGAAACAAGTTAGCCCAAGCTTCAAAAAACAGCACAGTTTATCATGAAGCCTCTACATTTGGCACTGAAGCACTCATGTCCAAAAGTAATAACAGCTTATCAAGTGGTAAAAGTGAGACTCAAGTGGTACAAGATTGACTCAAATGATAAATGGTGAATGGTTTAACTGCTGAAACTGTAGAAAGGGGGCCGGGCTAACTTTTAGGGCCTGTTTACATGGAGGAGGGGGACCCCGGGTAGGCATGGTAACCCACTTAGGTGGGGTAACCCACCTGTCCATATAATCTCTCATTTTCATTTGATCACGTTTACATGATAGGTGGGGTCACCCTTCAAGGTGGGTAGCCCGGTCTGCCACACCAGGTAACCCTCTCAGCTGAGGTCAAATTTTGCCAAGTCAACGTTTCAAGGTGAGGTAACCCAGGCTAGTCGGGGGTCGGATTTGTGATACATCAAATTCGCGAAAAATTCACTTTGGCGCCGGGTTGCTTCACATAATTATTAAAGGTAACAATAGAAAGCCACAACACTGAAGGTTGTAGCAAGAACAGCAAGTGAGCGTAGACGTGGTTTGCCATCATTTTTCTTGTTTACGTGCTTAGCGACCATTCAATAATCTTGAGGAACTGCACCCCAGGATGGCGGGGTTGTAAGATTGCATGTAAAGAGGGGTTATTTTTTTACCCCAACTAAGCAGGTTACCTCACCTACCTGGGGTCCCCCACCTTTATGTTAACAGGCCCTAAGTCTCAGGAACCGTGAAACTGGTAATAAACGGTATACCTAACCCGGGACTAGCTGTGATATTACTTCCATCTTCAAGAACGTCGGCATAGCAGCCAAACGAGCCATTATATCGGTGTAACACGAATATTAATTTGCGGTTGTTTCATGCGTCTTGTTTTGTGACTTTTTTTGTGTTCGTTTTTGTCAGCATCTCTACATATCAATCATGTTCAAAACACTCCTACTGACAAAATATTTCGTAAAGCTCTTTAGAATATTCAGCGATAAAAACAAGGTGTGACCAGGAGCCGATTTCTAGGCTCCTGGTGTGGCAACATAGGCATCATTGAATGCAAAGTTTTGCAGTATGTAATCTGTCAGAAATCTATTTGAGTGGTCATAGTTGGGACTGATGGGCTTCTTTATCATGACCACTCTATTATTATAAGGACCAGGCCATAATTATTTTTGACCCTTGCTTTTTTTGGTATTTTCTGTAATTTTCCACAGCATTATTTTGTGAAAAGCTGCTAACTGAATTGCTCTTTAGGAGTTCATGATCGTAAGACTTCGCAACCACGGGTTATTCGCTTAATTGCATGAAACACATTACATTCATTTTCATAAATGATGCATCATTGGTTGGCTAAAAGAGGCCTTGTTCCTGTAAATTTCCGAGCTCTTCTGAAGTTAGTTTGTTTGTAAATTGTAACGCACGCGACGACCTTCCTTTGTTTTGAAAGATAGACCTACCACTAACACTCTGGTCCAAGGGCCCTGAAGTGAGCCGCTTACAGGTGTCTAGGCATGCAGGGACCTCATACACTTCTTTTTAAATGCAAATGTGTAAAAACAAAGAGTGTTAAAAATTCCTGGAGAGGCATGTTTTACAACCTCGTCCCCAGGGCTTAATAAAAAGGTAGAAAAAACTTGAGGTCGACGGTGCGCTCCTTTTACCCCCCTCTCTCCATTAATTTTCCGTTTTAAGGGTATTTAGAGCTAGTCAAAGCTACACAGAAAGGAGAGAAGTTGAAATAAGGATGTGTTGACACCGAGGATCGAACTCGGGACCTCGCACACCGAAGGCTGCGCACTAACCAACTGTGCCACCCTTGCTCCTCCTTTTCCCCCTGAGGACGAGGTTGACATGTTTTAATCATTATCTCAAGGACAGGGTTACCAACGGAGCAAATTATAATCTAATCTTAGCTGCACAATTACAAAGTGGGCGCGTTGTCAGTTACGGTTCATGAGGTCGTTCATGTGGCATGTCAAACTTTAACGATTCTATCGTTTAGGATGTGACACATTTGAGTTTTATGTTATTGTGTGACATCTTTGAAAGCTGGCTTTGTGATCTGTTTAAATTGATGTGTAATGATATTATCACAGGCAAGTCTTTGCAGTGACACTGATAGCCGCACAGTCCGCACAGTGAACATGGCCACATTTACCGTGTGGAGACTGGGCACTAGTCAGTATTATGTACATGTAAAACTATTTTGAATAGTGTAACAAGAACTAAACATTACCAAATTAAACTTAAAAATTTGAAACAAAATTTTTTTAGCCAAATCAAACAAGAAGAGTACTCACCACAGGGCACCCAATCTGCTATTATAGGTGAAACTTAACCCCCCTTTTATCTGTAATTAGGACCATTTGTAACGGGCACCCCCTCCAGTATTAATCGGTAGGTGCTAAGGAAGCTCTGTGCCAAATTTGACACTTTTGTCACGTCTGTAACGATCCGGCCTATATTTTGCACTAAGAGACCTGACTATTAGTCTTCCCTAGCTAGTAATTATTTGTCTTATTAGATGGCGTCAGTGTGAGCAGTTCCTCATGCGATCTCAGAACCGATCTATTGATCTCAGTATGAACGGGGCCTGAGGTAAGGCTGTTTGTTCGTTCTGTTTGCCCCTATAAGTATTAATTTAAAATTGCATCGTTTGCTTAATATACATGAGGTTTTTTCACCAGTTGGGTATGATGTCGGTTTCATGTCGTTTGCGTCAGACGATCTGGTTTCAATCAAATTTTTTGACAGTTGATGCAGCGCTGTCACGCCGCAGATCGAAGCAAAATTACTAATAAACGCCGTACCTAATCAGAAGAATGCGGCATTTGCTCGAGGATAACAAGAAAAAGCTTGGTACAACTTGGTAATTTACACCATCCAGGTATTTACGATTCCATCTCGGCAAAATAAGGGAGACATTGGAACCTTTAAATGACATAATTTTTACAAACGATTTACAATAACTGTTGTCAGTGATTATAAAAAAGTCATGATTTCGACATAAACGCCGCGGCGTTTAATCGAATAAATACGGTATCGATTTATCGATTTTTCCGTTATGGGTTAAGTTGCACTAGTCAGTTTATAACAAAACTAAATGAATCGAAAGTAGCATAAGATTTGTGGAGTGCAAAACTGGATTCATTTCAAATACTTTAGTCTAATTCTTTCTCTGACTCATGACGATTATCGGGATAAGATGCGCAAAATAAAATCCATTCGACTCCAGCTAGTTTAGAATTCCAGATCCAGTTCCTAAATTTTCTCCTTACTTCACGTGATCAGTCATGGGACGCTTTTGAACCAATGAATGGGAAGATTACGGCTTGAAACGCAGAGTTTTCAGACACGCGAAGGTAAAACGTTCTGTGGAATCTTTGCAGAGTCTGTTCCTTGTCTTCTTTTCAGCCGTAAATGTTCGAATTTTGGTAATCAGGGACATTCCATACAACATGGGCTGACTTTCTCACCAAACACGTTCGATCGCATGGCTTCGTGTCATGTTTTGTACAGATTTTCCGCATGCCGTTGCATTAATCAGTGATTAATTTGCGAAAGCTTGATACTTCAAGGAATTGTCTCAAGGTAAGATTTGGTGTACTCTGTCTTGTATTGTGCGTTCGTAACTAGAATGCATGTATCATATCAGGTTGTAGTAACAATCGTTTATATCAAAGGGTTAATTAATAGTGGTCAGAAGAGGGAAATCGCGTGACTTCATGATTCGATAACTACATGCACACTGACATTATATAATTTTTTAGCTTAAGATTACTCGGCCTCTGTAATCAGTGAAAAAATTAAACCGCTGATTACAAACCGGGTGTACAGTGCAGACTACTAAGACATAACCCTTTCTCTATGCGTGGATAGTGAAAGTAATGGGTAATGAGCCTAACACTTCCAGGTCCTGCCCAATTTTCCTTCCCTTACAGCCTGCAGCTCTTTTACGATGGCAAAATATTAAGCGTTGTTGTGTAATTTCCGCCTATTTCCCCCACATTTTTTTGGTAGTTTGTTGGCAGCTCTAGAGAGTTTTTGGGTTTGATTTTTGCCCCACTTCCCCATCACTTGAAATCTGGATAATTAACCCCCTTGGTCAAATACCTTCTTTCTAAACCGCAACTTTGATCTAATACAAGAATAAGAAATCAGTTTTGGCTGACTTAAACTAACACCTTGACAGATTTTTACACTGGAAGCACAATGTCTGTTTTAGCGAAAGAGTTTGAATTTTTCGTTGAATGTCAACAAATTTGTTTGAAAGGCCAATAATTTTATTAGTCCAGTGAAATGGAATATCTCTTCAATTCACTTCCTCCGGTCTTAAAATATGTTGAGGATATATTTTATTGTTGCCTTTAAAAAATTGCCTTATTTGAATTCCCTCCAAAATTTTACATGTATTTTGCCCATCAGGCAAGTTAAGAACAGAGTTCACAAGCTTGACACTACAAAATCCTCTAGGTGTAAGGCCCGGGTTATCGGACACGATTTTCTTTGCATGCCGCTAAAAAATGTCGACTTATGTCCGCTAAAAAAATGGCGACACCAGAATATGTGCGAGGAAATTTCAAAGTAAATGATATGAAATGATCTTATCGTTACTGAGGCAAAAAAAAAAATAAACAAACAAACATTCAAATGCATTCTTGTATTCTCAGCACCAAAATTCGTGCTTAGTGAAGAACTAGAAAAAATAATGCTTGAATAGTGTAAAACATGCAGTCGTTAGTGAATATTAGAGTTGACGTTCGGTCACTTTCTAGGCTATGAAGTTTTTCCCAAGGATCAAGTATTCCCGATGTTTATCTGAAACCATTTCCTTTAACAGCTAACACCAGTTTGCCCATTTTGTCAGAGCAAGGAGAAATGGGTGCATGTATTCGCTGGTTTTCTTCATGCACGTGCCGACGAGGTTCCAAATTATGATATTGATTGACATGCATATGGAGTCCAGATAAAAGAAAAAGTCACACAGCAATTCTTTTGGGTGCCAGAGATTTAAACTCAGTCTCATAAAAATCTTTTTATGTTGATCATTTACAGTAGCTAAGCGGGAAGAATATTTTGTTATGGTCTTGTCTTTGGCCTTACCGTTGTATTTGTGTAGGTCTCGTAAAGAATACGTGGCTGTTGGTTTTTGAGGGAATTCCTTGGCAACACTGGATTTAGGAAGTGTTTTTTTTTTTTCTGCGTACCGTACAGTTAAAATCAAAGGCAATGTTATCTCCACTGTAATCAATGTGCATCGGGTTTTTTATGCTTTTGAGTGTATTTTGTTAGAATACTTCAGAGACGTGTCTCCATGCCAAATGACAGGCGTACAGGTTTGCTTAGTTCTGGCCTGCACTGTAGCAGTTTATATTTCATTGTTCAGGTCACCTTGAGAAAAGTTTCCCGGAGAGCATCATATAAAAGCTCTGAGATGGGACAAAGTTAATACAGTTGAACCTCCACTAATGGCCTCCTCTCCACAATGGCAACGGCCACCAAAGCAGGTCTCCATTCTGCCAAAAAGAACCTCCCTACGATGGCCAGTTTTTTCAGTGAGTGATGAAAAAGTCAAGACTGATGCTAGTATTCTTGATTTATCACGGCAATCACATTTTGATTGTGTTTTGTTTATACTGCTGCAGTTAGCATAAATTGTCTACGATAGTTAAAGCAAATGTTGCAAACTTTTCTCACAACCCTCTAAGTTAAAATTTTTGTTGAGTGAAATGATTCAGCGACCAACTCTTTGGGTTTAGTTGGCAGGGGAAATTTTTAAGCACCAAAAATATTAATAAAAATTCAAATATGAAAAATTGTTATTAACAAAAGCAGTTGGTAAGTTTAACTTAAAATGCAGTTCTGTTTATAAATTACTCATTTATTGTGTAAGAAATTATTTACCAATAGTTTGAGAATATTAGGTTTACAGATTTATCTCCTGAATCAACACTGAAGCGGAATTTTAAGGAAAATTACCTGTACAGGGCTTCCAGAATTATGCATTTTTTCCCAGCAAATTATGGCTATTTTTTGGCGAATTATGCACCAAAAATCCCCAATTATGTGCAAATTATGCAAATTTTTAAGCATATTTTTAAGCCAAAAATTTTTAATGTTCAATTAATTTTATTAAGCTTGCAAATCAAGTAAGTCAAAGTAAGTTAGTCAACAAAAACAACTTACTGAGTGATGCTGCTATGATTTTTTCGGGGTGAGTGAGATAAAGTCACATGGTTTATAGCTAAAATAAAACATATCAGTGCAAATATGATGAGCAACAATGATTTATTACACCAAACGTATTTCTCATTCCTTCCACGCACTCATGGCAGACTTTCACTAAAATTAATCTCTTCATGAGCTGGAGTTTTGCACTTGAATGAAGTCTTCAATGTCTGTTGTTTCGCTCGCCTTGAAGAAGATTCATCCATTCGCTTGATGTGTTGAACAGCTGAAAGGTGCTTGTCAAGAACTGACTTTCGTTGGTGTTCCACAACAACATCACAAGTTGAACAAAATAGGAGATTGTTTATCTGCATGGAACTTCCTGGGATATTGCTTAGCCCGCTGTTGTGGTGTACATGGCTTTTTCTTTGGTTTTACTTTTAATACAAACTTTAAATCCATTTTCAAAGCGAAAACACAGAAAGAAGTTGTTTTGCTGCCAATTAATTCGAAGAGGGGTGCTTTGTTGTTTTTTTTTTCAGACTTTTTTGGCAAAATACCTGTTAGAATCTTTCTTGATATTCTCTTGTGGGTTCAGGTTTTCTAAAGCGTCTTTTTGTGGCCTGACATCTTCATTCACGGCATTTTAAAACTTCGTCGCCATCTTGACACTGAGACGTACGGAAGGATTGCCATGTCAATTTTGTAATTTCACATGTGAAATTACAAATTAACGCTGAAATTTCGCGCCAAAATTAAGGAGTAATTTGTCACCTATGATATCATTATTATTATTATTATTATTATTATTATTATTACATGTATTATTGAGCTATTTTTTTGAAAAAAAATCTCATATGTCAGTGGTGTGAACGTATGTATCTTCATGGCTTTGTGGCTCCGTATGTTTGTTGCAGGAGCCAATAAGGTTGAAGGTACTATGAGTTGATGCTTAGGAACCAATCAGATCTTGGCATCTATTAAACATATGGTATTGCCAAAGGTCAAACAAGGGCACTTTGAGACCACCATGTTGATTCTTCACAATTTTTCATCTTTTATAAATTATTGCGGGTACAGGTGTTTGGAAGCATTACATTAAAATTAATATCTTCATGATTCAAATGCTGTGTACAGTGATGCAGCTGTTTAAGGGTTCATATTTTAGTGTGGATGCTGCTTCTGGACATTTCTGACCTAACTCGGCTATCGCGAATGGTACTTCTGTCAAGGTACATGTATTGTATAAAAGATCATTTATTTTTAAAGCTCTTCGGGTGAAACAATAATTGATATTTAGATATGGACTTTAATTCGAAAGTATGCGGCCTAATAAATTGTGTTTTTAGAAGTTATGAAGGCATCTTACTTTTTTGAAAGCTGCACCGTGTACTGTTAATCCTGTAAACAAGCTTTATTCTCTCACTTACATTTCAACAGACCTTTTTTGTTCCGGCAAAAAAAAAAACAATTAAAAAACGACATGAGCAAGTGAACAACATGATACACTGTACATCCTTCCTGCTTTAACTAAGTGTTACAGTTATTGAAACATATATTATTTAGTAAAGATGCATAACTTAAGTAGAAACAGTAAAGTTAGGAAATAAAATTGGGAGAAGCTAGTTGACACAATAATTAATTTTATTGAGTGGAATAACATGATATGAGGAGAAATATATTTCGGCAGTTTGATAATTTTCTTGAAAGTTAACCAATGTGAGGCTATCAACCTTGACGTTGTATGAAGCATAATTTAATTGCACTGTAAAGCTGATTTTTCGTTTGAGAAAATTTTGTAGGAAACAATTTGCGTTTATTTTACGCACAAATTGTAAAAGGGCTAAAATCCAACATCTTCATGTGTAAATTGTGGGCGTGAGTTATTTTGATAATTCTGTTTACTTGATTACTGTGTGATAACTCGAATTCCCTCACGTACAAACCACGAAAGGGGCAAAGTCGGACACTTTCACATGCAAACTGTGTGATTCTACATCTCATGCTGGTTTTCACAGTAACAATTGTAACTTGAATGTTTAAGAAGCAACAACTTACAACACTTTTAGAATTAAGTCGTGAGGGTTAAAGACTGTTTTATTACTTAAGTAGAATCATGCCTGACAACTTAACCTCGTGAATAATGATGATGCAACTATTCTCATTTGTGTAAAAGCCGCAGCGTGACGATTTAATCAACTAGATTACTGCGTGCTCCCTTGTAAAGCAGTCTATTGGTCCTTTACGGTCCCCAGGGAATTCCCTAGGCCTTTTATACGCCCTAGCAAACAAATTTGCCGTCTTCTCGCAAGTCTGCTTTACAACGAGTGAGCAAGTTTCCCCACCCTCCTCCCCTTCAGTGGCGCTGGAAAATTTTCTCTATCAGCCCACCCTTTGCCTTATGCAAAATTTTTCACCCATAACTTATCCATCAAAAGGCATAAGGTGGCTTTTATGTGAATGTGAATTAGTTACCATCTAAAACAATGATGAAAATCATGACATTTCTCAGCTATTTGGTATTCGACAAGTTTTATTATTTTAAGAAACCTTGAAACCTTCGAGTCTTCCCTCTAGGCAACGTTTGGTGAGTTGATATTCATAGTACTCTGGCAATTTGTTTATTTTGCACCAGATGTGAGAAGGAAAGACAAAGAAAAGTGAATCTGTAGTATGAGAATCGAATGAGCTATATGCAGTGGTTATGTACAGCAATACCCAATTTCGCACAAAACGTAGCTTTAATTTAGCTAGGATTAAAACAGTAGATTGCTGATACTGTTACACTGAAGCATTCAAAACAGCTCATGCATGAAAAACGTGCCTATGTTTATTGTACAAGTGTGTGAAGTTGATTGTGTGACATTTTGGTATTGTTTGCTTACTTGTACACATAAAACGTACCGCTATCTGGGGGGTATATCGCCACTAGTAAAAGTGCTTTATGCATTGCAGCCTTTTCACTGTTTTTGTCTTAGGCTGCGTGCAAATGGATGCAACATTGTTGACCAACAACTCCCAACATTGTTGGATGTTACATGTTGCATTTGTTTGCACACCCTGTTGCATGTTGTTGGATGTTGTTGCGTGTTGTTGCGCAAAGTTTGAAACTGGTCAAACTTTTCAGCCAACGACTCCCAACATTTCTTTTGTTCCGTGATCACTGAAGCATGGTGCAACAATGTTGGATCCATTTGCACAGCTCTTCCAACATTGTTGGGGCCATGCATGCTCATTACGCATGGTTTACAAAGACTTATGGGCTGTATCCTTCCCATGATGCACTGCAGGTCCTAACATTGTTGGGAGTTGTTGCATCCGTTTGCACACCATTGCCAACACACACGCAACAATGTTGGGAGTTGTTGCGTGCGTTTGCACGCAGCCTTAGACTAGAGTCTACTTTTAATACACAGTCTGGATTCTCTGTTAATGTCACTATTCCGCTTGTAAGATACGCATGCAAACGTCACGCAAGTAAATGACGCACGCAGGCTAAATAAACAACAACTACATGATGGCGTAATAAGGGGGGGACACAGCCCTGTGGCTGGTTATATATAGCGACTTCGGGTTATGTGCACAAAATAACACAAGTCTTACTTATCGCCCCACTACCGTGGGGTAGGACAAGAATCTTGGCAGAGCCTTTCTTATCTCCCTAGCGCCGCACGGGCTGGATCGGACAAGATTAAGGCAAAGGAATAACTCAAAAGATGGCAAGACACAAGCAATGCCAAAAGCTTGGGGGAAGTCGCAATGCAGACTTAACCGCACCACAGGGAGTAACCCAGCAAAATTTATTGAGACATAACATAACAACAACTCCTCCGAAGGGAGGGAGGGCGGGTAACAAAACTACTTTAAATGATTGCTTTCGTGCAAGCTAACCAAATAATGACTAGGAGTGGCATTGGCAAAGCTTTATAGTCAGACAGTGTCTCAAAGTACGGCCAATAGGCACAGTTGTACTATAAACCGTCTCAACTTATCATGATTAAGGTCTAGCCATGAATAGCGCTGAATAGGGCTTTGAAAACAGGGACCAATCTTTGCGAAGCTAAGAAATACACGATGACAAACATGCAACAAATTAGTGAGGTTCTAGCCACGAAAAGCTTTTGTTTTCTGCTTAAAGAATAGAGTGCTTTCATTTAATGAATCTGGCTTTCAATATATATCACCGAGCCTAAGACGGGGCAGGCTTTCTCGGCCTACCCCCCCTGGGGCTTCATGCTCCATTAACTGCATTTACCCGCTGGTAAATGTCTCATATATGCTGGGCCTGTAGTTTTCAGTTTGTGCATGGTCTGCATTTTACAGTGACTACAGACTCAATAGTCGATTATGTATAACCCACCCAGTAGCTGTGGCTCAAATCTGGGATTGAATGCAGGGTTGGCAGATAAAAAAATGTCACTTATTAATGTCGCCACATCATGCCCATGACATTTGAGACACAGGTACAGTGGAACTTTGTCTAATACAGCCACCTCGTAATACTGTCACCTCGTTAATACAGCCATATTTTTTTTTGGGCACGCCGCAAAACTGCCATACATTTTCTTGTAAAAAACCCTCATTAATACAGTCACCCGTTAATACGGCCAAATTTTTTGGTCCATTTGTGACTCTATTAAAGGGGTTCCACTGTAATGAGAACCAACCAATTAATGCAGACTTTACATACACCATCGTATCAATCATAAAGAGCATTTTATGGACTGTGTGACTGCGAGATGCGGTTCGCAAGTCCAACCCACAAAAATGACCCTTGCTCGCCAACGAGTCTTCAGTAGCTCAGAGGTCAGAGCATCCGATCTAGAACACGGAGGGTCGTGGGTTCAAATCCCATCTGGGGCTCAGATTTTTTCTGTGTCCTCTTATGGTTGATTCTTTACATCTCCCTTTATTTCCTTTATAAAGAGCATTTTCCATGGTAAAAAAAACTGTAGTAAATTTATTATGGGGTCAGTTTATGGTACTAGCATGTGGTTACACATGAATTAATCACCAAGGTAAATAAGCCACTGTTAAGTCTTCATTCAGGCTTTGGCGGTTATAATCGTGGTCGATTAGAGCAGGATTTAATGTTATGTTAAAAACATTATGTTTTGCAGATTTAAGGAAAATTCCATCAGGTTATATCAGTGCTGATAATTTAGAAAGAGGTATGTATCTTTTTTTTTTTTTTTTAAATTTAGGCCTTAAATTCCATTGTACAATCCAGCCCCCCATTTTAGCCTGAGTATCAGGCCTTCCTAAGGGGCTAGGGGAGAGGAGGTTTAGATGGAGGCGGGGAAGAAGAATTCTCTCCTTCAGCTCTCTCCCTTTTTCGCTTTCATCTTTCCCCTTTTCCCCCAGAAACTCCTGATACTCAGGCTAGCCCGTTTCAAATATCCGTCAGGGATTATGGCATATTTTTGGTAAATTAAGCGGCCCAAAACACCCGCTGAAATATTTCTCTGTTACTTTCATCTAAGTGTGAAATCTGTCATGTCAGCATTGATATTTCCTGAAACATCACAAAAAAAAACCCATTACATGTGAACAATTTTCTTTGTTGTTGTCTATTAAATGAAGAATCTTAATTGGCTTTCTTGCCTTTGGTATCAGAACATTTGTACATGTGGCATTTGTCCTTGCAATGGTCACTCTCACAAATTTGCTGGTGTCGTCAATTCCCTTAAATAAGTTTGTTTTGCTTGACTGACTGCACGTTTTTGAAGAACCCCGTTTAACAAAAAAAAACAAACCTAAAAGTCCAATTTTTTGTACACCTCATACAATGCTGTGGTTCAATTTTCTCCTCATAAAATACTCCCCAGTGCTAGTCCACTTTTCTTAACTTCATGAAAATTCCAGTGGTTAATTATCATGAACAGAAGCTTTTTTTGACTTCTGTGACCTTGCTGTCTCCAGTGGGTGAACCTGTGAACACTTTATGCTAACACCTGTACACCAGTGCATTTATGTTAGTGAGTTCATCTCAGCTCTGCATGCACCCACGTACATGTGTGTATCTTTCATGCACCATGAGATTGAGAAAACCTTTTCATAAATGGTTGCTGTTAAAACTTCTGTTGGCTAACTCGAGGAAACGTTGGTACAAATATTAAACACTCTCTTGGATGAAAATTACGTACTCGGAACACGAAAATGTTGTTTAGCAATTTAAACCCATGGTTCGTACAATCTTGAAAAGGTCTGGAATTTTGCTAGTCGTCTTGAAAAGTCCTTGAATTCAATTTTGGTCCTTGAAAAGTACTTGATTTCTTTATTAGGTCTTGAAAAGTCCTTGAAATATATTCACAACCTTGTCTACTCCAGACACCTTTTTTTTCCCTTTTCCGAGGAAAATTTGGCTCACCCTCGGTTTAAGAACTTGTAAAACTCACGGGAAGCGTGTAAAACATTTTTGTGCCTGAACAATATTTTATTTCAGTTTCTTTATTTCAAATGCTATTTCTGTATCTCAGATGCAATCGCAAGTCATACCCATGCCAGTCATTTTGCAAAGTCTTGTTTCGGAAAGTAGCATAAAATAATGTGATCAACAATGGCCGAAGAAGTAAAAATAGTAAAATATGACACCATGAAAGAATGTCGATTTATGAAATAAATTTTAGTCAATGAAAACTGTAATTTGTCCTTGAGAAATCCTTAAAAAGTCCTTGAAATTTGTTTGTCTGAAGTTGTACGAACCATGTTAAAACGATTAAATGAAAAACGATTGAACCAAACTTAATGGTAAACAGAATATTCTTGTTTAGCATGTATAATTTTCACCAAGACCGAATGTGTTGACAGAAGTTTTCTTTTGCAAAAGTTGTTCCAGTCTACATCTAGTATGTAGCCTCGTCTGCTGCAACTTTGAGGATCAACTCTAGATCTACTGCTTGGCAACGTCTTCTGCAGTTTGTTTTTGCTCTGTGGTCTTACTGCCAAATGTAGACTAAGTCCAGGGGATATTATATCAATATCTGACTGTGATTTTTTGAGCTGTGTTGGTACATGTACATGAAGAAAGCCTGCTATGGCCTGAATAAGAAATTGGAAGACTTGCAAACTTACAATTTATTTGCCTGTGTTTACTTAGTACATTTTAGTGTTTTTGAAACCTGATTTTTGGTGTTTCAAATTAATCAACGTTGATAGATGTGGGTGTCACTATCCCCCATGTTACTATCACTATTCCATCCTTTTCAAGTAAAGAAGAATTTAGACCTGAAAAAATTTTCTCAAGTATTATTTACAAGTAAGTAACTACTGAAATCAGAATTATATCTTGTGTATCTTACAACGTATCTTAAACATTTTACCCAGGTATATGGGTGGTATTTTTTTTTTGTCATAGTCAAATGCACTTTCTTGACTTCTCAATGTAATTCATAGAACCCAAGTAAAAATTTATGGTAGGACACTGTTTTACGTCTCCTACCTCTACATGGGTTCTGAAAACATTTGGGTACATGTGAAGACAAAGAGGAGACAATTCCAATAAGCTTACAACAAACAAGCCATGTCTCCTATACGCGCCTTATACATCTATCATGGCTCATTTGGGTTACCACACCACGCTCATACATTGTTTGTACTACAAGCAAAACAGTCATTTCCACATGGTCATCTAAACTATGTGAAGGTCCAGTCATTTGTAGGGCAAAGCCAGTACCAAAATGTTTATGCTGGTACATCATTATTCATGTAAAACAGTATTCTGCACGAGAATGACCATTTATTTTACAAGGATAAAGATTTTGCAGTTTGATATTTTGATACATTGTAATAATAATTTCTCAAGGTCCGACTGAAGTGAAAATATAAGTTATCAGCCAGCCATTTTTAATGAGAAAAATGCTTTCCAGCAATAATACAGAGCTGTACTTGTTGGACACCTCAAATACCCAAGTATACCCAACTTCATCCTTTGATTTCCTTTTTCCTGGCGAATTTCCAGTGTTTGTTTGATGTTAACACAACTGCATCGTTTTTGTATAGTTCTATTGCAGTGACTGTGATTCAAGTTACTTCTTAGGCATCCTGTGATGTCCAAGCTTACAGAGGTAATAACAACTTAGCGTCATAGCCCCTTTTGTAAATACTATCATTTTAGTGTACTATCTTGTTAGTATAGGTGTACGCGGTGCCACAGTGTGCATTTCAACTAACAAGTTAGCACGTGTCTTTATAACATACATGTATCACGCTTATATCACACTTGTGATAATGCCAATTGAAAAAGTCACGTTTTAGTGCAGGAATGGTTCTTCCATGCACTGTACCGAGCATATTACTTAACCGAACCAAACCAAATCTTTGAGAAATCTTGGATCTCATGGTTTTTACAAAATGATTTTTAGATCTATTTCTTCTGATTTCATACACTCAACACATGTCACGAAAGCTTGAGCAAAATTGGGAATGGTCGAACAAAACCTTCCTTAATACATGTACTTGTCTCTGAGCCTGTACTTCAGGTGAAGATTTTTATTTCCAACAATAACCTGAACTAGGCCTGAGGAGATACAGGGAGTTTGGGCCCAAAACTGCATTTTTTGGACAATTTTCCCCCTTGAAAATTAGGTTTTTGCGCGGTGAAAATTTCAAACATGCAAACATTTAAAACAAACATTTAAAACTTTGGTAATACATCATAGCAAGTCATCTTCCTTTTCTTCGTCATCATCATGATCTTGTTTTTTTAGAGCTCCTAGCCTGGTCATTGTCACTTAGAAGGGGGAAATGTTTTTGAGACATTTTTGACCTCATTTTTTTCTCACTTGTAGTACTGTAGCACTCCAGTCTTTGTCTTGTTACTTTTGACCAATAAATTGTTGGCCTTTGGGACGTGAAATCGACAAGGTTTATCTGCTAATCTTCGTTTAGGGTAGGCGTGTTTATTGCTGGTTTTCAACCTTGCTCCTGAAGCCATCATTATTCTTATCTTGATGTTTTCTGACGGACAAAACGTTACCTGAAATTTTCAAACTGTAATGAAGATAGTAGTTTCGTGTCCTTACTTCAAAGGTCATTCAGTGAAGTAATCTCTTTCTGCTAAACACTTTATGATCTCACTTGAAACTGCGGTGAAATTTTAGTTTGCTCTTATTGGCTAATTTTTTAGTGCCAATGTCTCTCTCCTTTACAGAGTCCTTTTTGGGCCCCTGAGAGGTTGGGGAAGAGGAAGAGAAAACGTGCAGAGGATAAGGGTGAAGGGAAAGAGGAGATTTCCATTCTTGTTTAATTCAAGAGGGGGGCCTCTGCGGAAGAGAGCGGCACCAAATAGCCTGAAATAATTTTTCAAGCTGTTACCCAGACCCTTCATAAGAGATGGACACTACTATGCGAGGGGCTCCTGCATTAAGTAATCAAACTTACCCTATTTCTTTCATTAGCATTTGCCACCTCCCAACACAGCATCTGCATCACAGCAATGCCAAGGAAGCAGTTCAAGCAACCCTTCCAGCAACAAATTGAGAGTTACTCTGTTAAGCAGTGAATGGAGGTCAACAAAAGGAGGCTTGTCAACCATCAACCGAGAGCTGGCCATTCAGTTGGCGAAACAATCCAGTGTGGAGGTCAGTGTTTATGTTCCTCATTGCAGTGAAGAGGACAAACGAGTCGCTGCAAGTCACAATGTCCATCTCATTAAAGCAGAAGAAATGGCAGGTTTTGATGACCCAGCTTATTGGTTGTCCTCTCTACCACACGATCACGCTGTGGACTGCGTGATAGGTCATGGGGCCGTTCTTGGTCGGCATGTGCAGTTTATTAAACTTCATCGTACTTGCAAGTGGATTCAGGTCGTTCATACAGCTCCTGAAGAGCTTGGTATGTACAAATCGTATGCAGATGCCATTTCTAGAGGTGCAAAAAAGCACCAGGCTGAGGTAAAACTCTGTGAAAAAGCTGATCAAGTTGTAGCTGTTGGACCTAAGCTGGCTGAAGCTTTCTCAAGTTATCTTCGTGCTTGTGGAAAGGATCAAGATGTTTTAAATCTTACTCCAGGTATCTTCTCTGAGTTTGCTTATGTAACGCAAGCAACGGAAGAAAGAAAAACATTTAAGGTTCTTGTGTTTGGACGTGGTGACAATGAAGATTTTGAGTTGAAGGGGTATGACATCGCTGCTAAAGCCATTGCCTTGTTGAAGGACGATCCACAGCCCTATAATCTTTTGTTTGTTGGTGCAAGGGTTGGAGAAGAGGAGAAAGTAAAGAATATGTTGCTACACCATGGCATTGATCGCAGCCAATTAAGTGTTCGTTGTTTCAATGAAAGCAGAGAGCAGTTAGCCCGGTTGTTTTGTGAAGTGGATCTTGCTATAATGCCATCACGAACTGAGGGCTTCGGGCTTACCGCCCTTGAGGCTTTATCCGCCGGTCTACCTGTGCTGGTCAGTGGGAATTCGGGTCTTGGAGAAGCTTTGAAAGACGTTCCTTATGGTGCAAGTTGTGTGGTGGAATCAGAACATCCTAAAGATTGGGCATATGCAATCAGACGTGTTCGGAGGAAAAAGCGGACTTTGCGACTTAGGGAGTCAAGTGTTCTTCGAGAAGAATATGCAACGATGTACAAGTGGCAGGATCACTGTCATATGCTTACAGAAACAATGCGTAACATCTCTCGAGGTAAGAATGTATAACGGAGACATGAGATGTCTTCGCTACATTGTATCAGGAGTTTATCGCAAAACGTAGAAGAAAATTGTGGGACATGTAAAAGGGAACCATAATCACAGGGACATAAGAGGGATGTATCTCGGTAACATGCATATGGGATGTATAAAAGGGATATATGGGAGGGATAAGTTTTGAAATGTACAGACAGGGGTGTTTTAGTGTGACACGTACATGTAAGAGAGATGCATAACAGAGACATGTAACACTTACAGGGGTGCATTCCACGTGCCGTTAAGGGGAGACATAAGAGGACACTGAATGTGGCACAGTAATGAGCTAGTACTAGAAGGATCGCAGTTCAGCTCGAGGTGCTTTTTCCTAATCTCTTCCTTTGTCAAAGCCTTGCCTCTATTCACAATACAAGCTTGATTCCTACATATTCATAAGAGCTCGAGCTTGTTATAGGTTAACACAACTGGAGGTTTGTTCCACCTGCACCCTTTGTTGTCTGTTGTGGAGAGGTGTAACTCCACTTTTCTAGACTTCATGACTTCTTGTATAATACAGTCAACCCCCTATATTGCAGACCCTGTAGGGACCTTGAGTTAGAGTCTTCATTAGTGAGCGTCTGTAATAGCGGGAGTTTATTTCAGTCAAATGTCTATAATATACTTTTGCCTGGGATTTAGCTGCTGTCCGCGTAATCGGGATGTCCGCAAGGCAAGAGTTGATTGTACTTGCCTGCGCTTGCTTGATTAGTTTTCTGCTAGCTCAGATCATTGTTCAGACACTTGGTACTCTGTACCACCGTTCTTTCGAACAAAATGAAGTAATTCCTAACTTCGCCTATGAAGCAGGAATCAGTCACTCAACTTTCTTGTCCTTAACCGTTAAGAATCGGCCAAACCATTGGACACTTCTTTTTCAATTCTTAACAAGACGCTGTGGGAGCGTATATTTGGGTTACGATGTACTAGGCGTGTGTGAAATTTTTATGTGTGTGTTAGGGATGTGTGAGTAGTGTAGTAGCGTTGCATATTTTAGGGGTTAGTCGAGATGTGTGGAGTGGAAGGCGTGGAGTTATAGTGGACGTGAATTGGTGAGATAATGGCTGTAGTTTGTTAATCAGTGAAACTTGTTTCTCGTAGAATTACATTTGAAGTAACCAAAAATTATTATTTTGGGAGGTAAAAGTGATTTTAGGTGTTGCAGTGAGGTAGTTGTGGAAGTGCTAATTCGGTTATGAAGGGACATTGTAGTTACAGTGTGTTGAAATGAAGTGGTGGTTGTGAAAAGTCCTATCAATAGTCGAAAACATACTTGTACCTATTGAAAACGTTGTTAAGTTTTTACTTCGGCGGAGTGCAAAGTAAAGGATCCGCGACGCTCAGGAATGTTGATATTTTTGGGACAAGATTGGGCACGCAGAGTCTGTGGGTTTTCAGTTTTATTCGGCTATTTGACGAAGTGAGAGCCGAATTAGTTCGAGATATCTCGAGATCACTTCGATTTCTTTGATTTATTCTTTAACTTATCCGAGGAAGAAAGAATTATTATTTGGGAGTGACCCAAATAAAGTAATCGTAATGTCTTGTTTTGACGCAAATGTGCAATAAGCACGCAATACGTGCTAACGTAAACAAGGCAAGTAAACAAGCGAAGCAAGGCGAATGTCTGCCATTCGAACGTCTTGTACAAGGAAAGAGGCATGTGGGAAAAAAAGCTTTTCTAGCACGGCACTTTATCGCACTTTTACGATTTTTACCTCATCGAAATTTGGAAGTCTGAAGTCCAGGGATAAAATCTATCAAAAATATTTGGAATATTAACATCAGGTTTTGGTCACAGTAAGATCACAAGCAACGAACATTGAGACAGAAACTCACAAAACGGTTCGAAATCCATCAATCAAAAATCACAAACAATGACGTTTTGAACCCGTTGAAGTAAACTTTTGTTTCCTAAGAGGTCCCCTAAGATGATTGGCGTCTGACATTTTTTTAACGAGAGGATCGAAATGCACCAATCGTAGAAAGACAATTTTAATTGCATGATTCCTTAGGGGTCATCTAAATTTGCTGTTTTCTTTATTGTATATGCATTTTCTTGTCCTTATTTTGTGATTGATCGATTTTGTTACGTCGAGTGGATAATCCAATGAGGGACGATTTGGTTTTCGTTTGATCCGAAATTTTTCAAAGGGGCAGCAAGAAGTGGTTTGGATGAAATTTGGTGATGCTGTTTCGAGGAACGTGTCAATATATTGTTGAAGTATGTAATCATGCCTTAAACTTACAAATGCACATACTGTTCGCAGTCGGCCCACACTAAAAAATGACACTAAGCGTTTTCGGAATGGGCTGGTCCGCTAACTCAAAGGAAAACAAATGAAATTCTCAAGACATTCGGTGACATCAAAGACTCATAGACGCAATGACAAATCGCAATATCAGGGGTGTACGTGTGAAATGGATAAGAGTTTGAAGAGAGGAATGTGTATCAAGTTTGAGAGTCGGAAGATTTGTATCGCTGGTAATCATTTTGACAACAGTGATTTGGATATTCACAATGCGGAAGACAAGAAACTGCCTGATTGAAGGACGAGACGATTGTCAACAATTGAAACCAAAAGGGAGTCATCCTTCTTTTGTAACTACTGTTATAGGGGGGAGGGCTGAAATTTTGTGTGCGTGCTCGGGAGCTTTGAAAAAGCGGTGAAGTCAGGGGAAAGCGTAAAATCTGGCTATAGAACTTAGAGCCTGATTGAGCCGGGCTGGCTCGCTTTGCAGAAAACCCGGCACCTTGGTTAAACGCAACAAATATCAACTTTGCGATCGTATAACAACCGAGCCAACCCAGTTAACTGGGATCCCAGGTGCAAATTTTCCAAGTAATCACGCTTACTGGGCGACCCGGCGAATCAACCAAGCAAAAAACAGGACAGTAGGCAACACACTGTTCGTTCGCATTGCTTAGAACGCGGTTTGCACGTGAAGATGTTGGACTCTGCCCCTTTTACGGTTCGACTGTGAAAGATTGCAACTTGTTTACGAGGTCATTTTGCTTAATAAGATTTTGAGAAATCACCTCCTTTCCGGAAATATGTATTGAAATTATACATCAGTCAATGTTACCCTTAATTATCTCATGCACGAGATCATGGAATTTGCGTGACATTTTCTTTGGCGCTTGACAACTGAGAGCAAAAATATAATGAAACTCTTGGCAATAAGCCAAACCATTCACACCATGTGCTGTGAGGACGATTATTTTCCAAATTATTTAATGGTTTGTCTCACTCAGTGTACCTTGTTTTTCCAAGTTTGTTTTCTATTGCAAATTTGTTTGCCGTGCGTTATGTAACGAAGATAAATGCTGTGTCGTGACACAGTGCGCGGCAGACATTCGCGCCGCTTGGCTTGTTTACGTTCGCACGTATTGCCTGTCTATTGCAACTTTGAATCAAAACAAGCGAACTCGATTACTCTGTTTGGGCGACGCCCAAGTAAAATGATATTGTTAGCATCACGTACATTTTGCATTTTACGTTGGATGCTAATCAGTTCTTATTAGTGATTTATGCCAAATTTCTTTAATTGGAACGGTGCTTACAGGAAGAAAAATTTGCAGTGAACGTTTATTTATTTATTTATTTATATATTTATTTGTGTTTACAGGAGAAAATCTCGATGTCGTAACTGATTGTGACGCCTGTGAACAAGAGGGAGCTTCATCAACCGAAAATGGTAATCAGTAATTGTAACGGTGCTTACAGTAAGAAAAATTTGCAGCGAAAGTTTATTTATTTATTTATTTCTGTTTACAGCAGAAAATCTCGATGTCCTAGTTGACTGTGAGGCCTTTAAACAAGAAGAAGCTTCACGTACCCAAAATGTTAATCGGGAGGAAAATGCCGTTGAAAAAAGATATCCCTCTTCACAAGAGATTGTGAATCTTATTGCAGAAAAGTATATTCAGACAATTGACCCCTCTAATCCAGAGGGGTTAAATGCTTTTCTTGAGTATATGGAAAAAGTGCGCCAAACCATAGTTATCGATGTGAAGAAGGGAAGCTTGATAATCACAGTGCAGTGTCGCTCACTGCGTATTCTCGACGAACTGTGGGAAGACTATTGCACAGGCCATCTAAAAGAAGTGGCACAGAGGTGCCTTGTCACAGAGGGGGTTCTAAAAGAATTGGGTGTTGAGGCCGTACAACTTACGGTGACTATCAATGAAGAGGAGTACAGGGCTTATCGAAAGTACTTATTGGGGCATGAAGGTGGGTATGAAAAATAATTTGACTCAATAATTTCTTTACGCCTAGTAATTTAGTCTAAACAGTAAGACTGAAAATTGCCTAAAACAGGAGTTTGCCCCTTAGTCGCAGTCGTTTTCCGTTCGTTTACTCCATCTCTGTCAGAATGAAAAGTGCATAACTTGCGCCCAATTCTGAGATGATTGAGGGAACAGGAAACCCAAAATTCCTTCAAAGTTTGCAAAAGCGCAGTGCGATACAATAAATTTAGGCTTTTGAAGGTTACTTGTACTGATAAAAGTACGGTGAGATTTGTCACTTAATTCAGTAAAATCTCTGTAAAGCTTTCTCTTTCCACCGGCTTGACAAATAGGCTGTAATATGCAGGCGGCATTGCAATAAAGTTGCTTACGCCATTCAAACCAGTAGGGCTGTTAATGCTGATGCTTTCAGTACCGGTTACGGAGGTCAACGTTTTGCGTTGTTCTCGATTCTGAACGATCATTTCATCACTACTACTACCACTGCCAGTGCCACTACCACTACCACTACCACTACCCCTGCTACTGCCGATGCCACTGCTACTACCACAACCGCTGCCACTGCCACTACCATGTCTTGACTTGCGTTACATGTTGTAACTTACCTACCGGTGTTGAAAGTTTTATCTACGATTATTAGTTTCCGAATTTTGAACAATCGGACATTTGAGATTGTTGAGAAAGAATGCGTGGTTTGGGAATCATAAGGGAACCGAGATCAGGGTGTGAGCGAGGGAGATTAAAACTGTGTCAATTCAACCAATTGTGAGTTCTTTTTTCGTTGTTACCGATTCCCGACAAAAAGTGACGACCCTGCCGAGACCGATTCTCAAGGAAATCGTAACCTGGAGTTCAGTTCACGTAAAGAATACAACGCAGCGAACAGACCACGTTTGTAAGCAATGTGACGGAGCTTGAACAAGCTTTGAAGAAGATAGACTCTAAATTACGCTTGTTGAAATTTACGCGAGATGACGTACGCAGAATCCAAGAAAAGAACGAGTTAAAGGTGGCGGGGCGATTGCAAAAAGCCCTGGAGCAACAGATAGGTAGCGTTCACGAACAGTTAATAGAAATTAGGCGCTAAAAACAGGAAAAGGAGATCAACCCGAAGACATGCGTAAATGGAGTCTGGAGATAGAAAAGCAAGTCGCAGAGTACGAACAAATCACAGAGGATGCGAGAAGAACGGTAAAGAGTCTGCGTGAAGGGGCCTTTCTAGAAGCGAAATGAGAAGATAAAAAAAGGCTAAGAGGAGAAACGCAAATGGCGATTCGAAGAAGAGCTAAATTATAAGAAGAAAGGATGGAGATTAAGAGAGAATTTGAGAAGAGACTTGAGGCGGATGGAAGCAAGTCTGCGTAGGAAAGCGGTGCGAAATTACCCTAATTAACCATCTCGAAGTTTCGAGGTACCCATTTGGATTGGCTACGGTTCTGGAACCAGTTTTAAACCGACATTGATAAGGCTGCAGTTACCCAAGTAGCAAAGTTTTCGTATCTGAAAGAGCTGCTTATTCCAAGAGTGTCGTATCACGAGAAGTTGCGATAAGTGTAATGGCAGACATCACACGTCAATCTGTGACAAAGAACAGCCACAGTTGTTGCTAACCACTTATGAAGATACAGTTATCTACCCAGTGGTGGTCGTCAGTGTGGATGGGATAACTTGCCGAACATTATTAGACACGGGCGCTAGTAGTGCATATGCCTCAGCATTACTAATCGAGAACTTTGCAAAACAACCATCAAGAACAGAGCGTAAGAGAATAAACATGATGATGTACTCAACCACCTAGAAAATAGAGCAGTATGACGTGAAAATTTCAAATATTCGAGGAAAGTTTGAGATGGCAACAAAAGTGAGCAAGGTGGGCAAAGGTGTTCTGCTGTCAATTCCAAATCCTCAGTACACTGATAAGATCAAGGTGTTTCCGCACCTTGCGGGTGGGACCATGGATGATGAAGCTACATACTAGGAGCTAGTGAATACTCAAGGATCAAGACACATACCAAGCTGGAGGTTGGAAAGGCCGGTGAACTGATTGCAGAACTAACTACACTGGGCTGGACAATGATGTCAGCAGACTACGAACAGCTGTGTAGTCTAGACGTGCTGGGCCTAGAAGATAGAGCAGACAGGAATCAACAGTGTGTATTTGAAGAGTTTAAAGAACAGCTAAGACAAAGTGCGAAGGGTTGGTATAAAACAGGCTTTCTGTGGAAACATGGGCACGAACTCCTACCAAACAACAATGAAGGAAGCCTTAGAAGACTTGAAAACCTGGGCAAGAAACTTCAAAGAGAGCCGAATGTCCTAGCTCGGTACGGTGACGTAATTCAAGATCAGCTGGCGACTGGGATCGTAAAGCGAGTGACGTCAGAACCAGTAGGAAGAGAGTGTTAAATACCACAAAAGTCCGTAAACAGAGAATCAGCAGAATCCACTAAACTTAGAATTGTGTATAACCCTTAAACCAACGCTAACGAGAAGAATCCGTCCAGGATCGATTGCTGGGAAACAGTATTGCTCTTCAGAACCGCCTTTGGGATGCGCTAGTTTGTAACTGCCTTTAACCGATAGAATTAGCTGGTGACCTCAAGCAAGCATTCCTCCAAGTGCGCAAGATCGAGACGTCCTGCGGTTCCTCTGGTTCAAGGACACAACGATGTTTGAAGTTGAAGTGTTAAGGTTCACCCCGTGCTTTGTTTGGCCTTGTGCAATCGCCATTATTTCTGGATGGGACGCTGCAATATCATCTGAAAAGTCTGAAAGGAAGATACCCAAAGGAAGCGGACAATATCCTGAAGAGCCTATAAGTTGACAATTTGACAACTGGTGGAGAAACAACAAATGATGTGTGCCATTTGAAGAACACAGCTGTTGCAATTATTGGTGAAGCAGGTTTCGAGCTCCACAAGTGGCACTCCAACGAACAAACTTTAGAATCCGAAGCAAGCAGTGAGCAAGAAGATGAAAAGCAAAGTTATGCAAAGAAACAACTTAGCGTTAAACCTGGCGAGACCAAGATGATCAGGCTACCTTGGGACATGATGGCAGTAACCTTCCCCGCAGCCCCCCTGAAGTGACGAAAGGAGAAACTATACGACTCCTTGCGTCCATTTATGATCCATCAGGTATTGCCTCACCAGTTTCCCTCGTGGGGAAGATTTTATCCCAAGATATATGCGACCAGCGCATATCATGGGATGTGCGAGTACCCAATAAATTAGCAGAACGATGGAACAAATTCGAGAAGAGCCTAACAAACATGGTACAAGTTACGAGTAGTCTAGCAGCATTTTGCGAACCCATCTGAACGATAGATTTACATGCGTTTGGAGACACCAGTGGTGCAGGAACAGGTGTCACAGTGTATGCAATAGTTCATCAACCCTCCAGGACGCGACAAATCAAAGTTTACTCGTAGCGAATTCCCATCTGGCGATACCAAGATTAGAGTTGGTGTCGGCGCACATGGCCTCAAATCTCGAAGGGAACGTGAAAGACACCTTTGAAGGCCAGCCCATAAGATCAGTTTATGGATGGTTGAATAGCACATTGGCCCTACATTGGATTAAAGGCACAAGCAGTATCTATAAGCAGTTTGTTGGTAACAGAGTAAGCAAGATAAAGGAAAAGGACTACATTACCTGGAGTACATGTCAGCACCCACCAGAACCCCGCAGATGCATGGAGCAGAGGCTGTTACGGAGCCAAGTTGGCCAACTTATGGCTGAAAGGGCCTGAATCGTTAGCGGACCCTGAAAGTTGGGCAGCAGAAATTCTAACTGAGCCAAGCAAGGAAACTGAGGCGGAAGCTAAATTGACTAAGGAAGTCTTCGGCACTGTTGCAGAGACCAAGAATGATCTAGATAAGACCTTGAAAAAACACAGCTTCTGGAAGACAATGCGAGTGACAGTATGGATTATGCTTTTTGTACGAAACTGTAAGCAGAAGAAATCAGAGCGACTTGCTGGCCCGTTGATCACACCTGAGCCATCCAAGGCAGTCCATTGGTGCGTGAAAAGAGCACAAGAAAGCAACATGGGGACAGAGAAGTTCAAGCAGGATCAGTTAAGTCTGAAATGTGCGAGATATCTCCGTCGTTGCAAAAATGTGCTATGGTCCCGATGGACAGGGGAGTACATCAGGAGCGTGAGAGGAAGGCATAACCTCAACCATAACAAAGGTGGACCACCCATTGAGCAAGGAGACGTTGTTCTAATACAGAGTGATGAGCGTAACAGGGGCAAGTGGAACATTCGCGTTGTGGTGAAGTTGATCAATGGAAGAGATGGGATCTTCTGAGGAGCAAGATTGAAGGCAGGCAAATCCTTCCTGGAACGAGCTATTTCATAGTTGTGTCCTATGGAGCTATCATGTGATTGTTTCAAGGAACCGGAAGTTCCAGTACCTAACCCATGCGCCAGAGTGACAATTCCTAGGGCAGCTGCTATTGCAGCAGTAAAGAACATTAAGGACATTGAAGAGCGGGGAAAGGAAATGAATTGAACATTTGATTGATGTTTGATTCTGATTTTCACTTTATAGTATTTGACACCTGCGGTATCAAATAGGGAGAGAGTGTCTTGACTTACGTAACATGTTGTAACTTACCTTCCAATTTTGACGGTTTTATCTCGGACTAGTTTTTGAACTTTGAACAACGGACATTTGATATAGTTAAGAAAGAATGCATGATTTTGGAATCATAAGGGAACCAAGATCAGGGTGTGAGCGAACGAGATTAAAATTGTTTCAATTCAACCAATTGTGAGTTCTTTTGTCAGTGTTGCCGATTTCCGACAGCCACTGCCACAGCAACTGCCACGGCTACTACCACTACCACTGCCACTACCACTACAACTACAACTACCACTGACACTACCCCCGCCACTGCCACTACAACTACTGCCACTACCACTACCACTGCCACTACTACTGCTACTACCACTACCACTACCACTGCCACTGTGACTGCGTCTACCACCCATCACTATCATTTCCTCTTAAACGAAATTAACAATTCAAAGTATAACAACAGCCAGGTTATGATACACCATATCCACAAAATTTTGTGGGGAAATCATGAATCACAGCCTAACGGTAAAACTTTTTTATTTATTTATTTATTTTTTTTCAGGAGTTGTCACATCATTTGCAAGTATCTCCATCACTGATGACATGCCAACTGTTTCAAATTTGGATGCCATCCAATCTGAAGAAGAACAGACTTCACTTTTTGATGACGCTCTTCCCACAGCTACTCAGGTAGATATAGAACAAATAAGTAAACAACTGACATTGAAGCTTGCGTTGAAAATGAGAATGTGAAATGTAAAATAGTTGAACTATACATTTCTTAGCTATAGATTTTTCTTTGTAGTTAATCTTTGCTTGTTTTTGATAGATCTCTTTTGACTGTTGTCTTACGATAGTCAGAATGTTTTTGATCGCGATTTTTCGAGTAGTTACCGCTGATCTTCATGATGTGATTGTGTCAGTTTGCAGTGCTGAACCATTAGCAACGCTGAGGTTGCTAGTACGTTTTGTTCTCAAACCTCACTCATGGTTAGTGGATTCCGATCCTTGACTTTGTTGGAGTTAGTAGCCGTTCTTCAGATATAATATTACTGCTTTCATCATTCGGTCACCAAGGTCAGCGAAGAGATCTGCCATTACGCAAGAGTGATTGCAAGAAGGAGAAAAGCGTGGTTTCATTTATAGATAGTTACTATTTGCAGCAAAACACAACTGGATGACATTGCGCATGAGCAGACCATTATTTGTAGGCAGTTACTTGCAGTTCATGTCGTAGGCTTTCAGCCAATAAGAAAGGAAGAACAATTTGCTTCGAATTATAATAATCTTTTCGTTAATCAATTCAGTTGGAGTACCTTCTGCCGATTTTTCTGGTAGATGACTACCTTCAGTTACCCTGCGAACGGAGGTTCCTCTCTTGTATATGCTCCCCGGGCGAAACAAACTACCTACGTGACTGACAAGCGACACAAAGACTTCGTAAACGCTAAAAGCCATGCAAAAGCGAAACCTCTTTTCCCAGGTTAACCTCCAGTAAAATTCTGTGATTTGCGTAGCACTTCTTGCCCTCAACTTCGTGTTTGCCCCTGCATTTATTATTGCTCGTCTGGAATGTACTCACCCAAGTAAGCTCTTTAAAAGCCTCTTGTTTGCTGACAGAATAAATTATTTTCCCAAAGGTTCCAGGGAACAGAAGTCCATCAAGTATGTCCCTTTCAAAAGAGTACACCGAAGAACAGTTGAATTACTTCAGAATTTGCTATGCCTTTACTGATATTCTAGCCGAAGGCCTGAGAGAAATTTTTAAACAAGAATGGGACATACGGCACAAATTAACAAAAGGAGAATGGAAAGACGAGCCTCAGAATGGAATGGATTTTTATAATGGGGAGTCTTTCCGAAACAAAAGAAGATATGCTCATCTTTTGGCCACAATGCAAAACGGAAACAGAGGAGAATGGGATTGTTCAATGCTTTTTTATGCTATTCTTTTTTCTGATTGTGTGGGGCCCAGCCTTAGCGCAGCTGTGAGGAAAAATGTGGATGATCTTCGAAATTTCAGGAACCAAGAATTCGCTCATAAGCCAGAAGGCAGTCTCTCTGACATAGATTTTCAGAATGCCATTAGCAAACTTGGTAAGGCGTTTCAAGCTCTTGGTCTTCCCACTGTAAAAATTCAAGACCTAAAAGTTCAGAGAACATATGCAACAGAAGAATTTCGAAACATTCTTAAGGAGGTAGATGATCTTAAACAAGAGGTTCAGGTCCGGGTCCAGTCCCTTGAAGATGAGCTGCGGAAAATATCACCTTCATTTTGTATTCTCCCTCCTAAACCTTCACATGACATCGGTGGTCGTGAACGCGAGGTGTCAGAAATAGCTCAGCAGCTGAGAGAGCTAAAGGAGTCCAGTCACAACAAGCTGAGTATTCTGTACATCTCAGGGAATCCTGGAAGTGGCAAATCACAGTTAGCTGGCCTCGTAGCTCAGAGGTTCTTTGACGAGGTCAAAGAAATACCAGGAGGTTCGTCGTTTGTGATGACCTTAGATGCCGCAACCTCAGTTTCTCTCTTAGAGTCATATGCCTCACTCGCTCGCTGTTTAAAGTGTCCAGACTATTCTGTTATGGAAACCCTCAGCTCAAAGGACTGGAATGTAGAAAAGAAGATAACCAATCTTAAGATGCTTATTTCTGGAAAAGTCAGCTGTTACACGTCGTGGTTACTGGTTGTTGACAATGTCACAACCATGTCTTCAGTATATAGTCATCTACCACAGTGTGGAAACGAGGATTGGGCAATGGGTCAGTTGCTGATTACAACTCAGAACACGGAGATTATCCCCCTTAAAAGCTCTTTCGTTTATCATGTCTCAGTGAGCAAAGGTATGAATCCTGACGATGCCTGTTCCTTGCTGGTTAAGGTCTCTGGAATACAAGATAGCGAGCTGGTGACCAAAGTGGCACAAGAACTGGACTATCAACCTCTTGCTTTAGTAGGCGCTGCCGTCTTTGTCAAAGAGATGCGACAGGATGAAGCATCGAGGAATTTTGGCTGGAACGAATATCTGAAGATATTAAAAAAAGATAGAAGCGAACCTACGAAGGATATACTCGCATATACAAACCCAATTTACCCAAAGTCAATGACCAAAGCCGTGATGTTAGCTTTGGAAACACTGATGAGATCCGACGAACTTGTCAAGCATCTTTTCATTTTCCTTTCCCTGTGCGCGCCTCAGCATTTAACAGTGGACATAGTAATTAGTTACATCGTTAACGTGCTCAAGCAGTGTGATGAAGCGGACGAGGAACTAATACGCATGAGATTAAGAAGATGCTCACTCTTGCTCTTTGAAGATAGCCAGGGTGGCTACTTCATACGTGTGCACCAAGTTGTGTATGATGCAATCAAAACTCTGATGAATAACACTCCAGAGGGTCAAACCCCCGAGGTCGTAAATGCCGTTATTTCATCATTTGATACATTTATAAACGTTGTTCCACCTGAGAATAGGAGACTTGAAACAATGCATATCGTTCCACATTTAAAAGCATTGACCATGGTAACTGACAGGGTGTTCATGAAAGAAAATTTGTTTCAAGTTCACAATAAAGACATATCAGATCAATGTGAAAACCTTGCACAGATTTGTGAAATGCATAGTGAACTTAATGTGGCAAAAACGTATTGGCAATATTCTCTCACTGTAAATCTTGAGAAGGTCTGTCCTAAACATGCTGATGTTACAAGGGGCTACAATAAATTAGCTACACTTTATATGGCCTTAGGTGACCTCGAGAAAGCAAAGGAGTATCAGGAACGTGCTCTAGCTATCCAGCTCAAGAAGCTCGGCGTGGCATCTGTTCCGGTTGCAACAAGCTACAGTAACTTAGCTTCAATATACAAGGACTTAGGTGACCTCCAGCAAGCCAAGGCGTATCAGCAACGTGCTTTAGCGATAGGACTAGACAAGCTTGGTCCCGAACATGTTGATGTTGCAAGAAGCTTCGCTAATTTAGCTTCAATTTACATGGACCTAGGTGACCTCGAGCAAGCCAAGGAGTATCAGCAACGTGCTTTGGCGATTACGCTGGACAAGCTCGGCCCTGAGGATGTTGATGTTGCAAGAAGCTACAATAAGTTAGCTTTAATTTACCATAACCTAGGTGACCTCGAGGAAGCCAAGGAATATCAGCAACGTGCTCTATTGATTACCCGGAGCACGCTCGGTGCTGAACATGTTGATGTTGCAACAAGCTACAATAACTTGGCGTCAATTTACAAGGACCTAGGTGACCTCGAGAAAGCCAAGGAGTATCAGCAACGTGCTCTACATATCCAGTTGAAGGCGCTTGACCCGGAACATGTTTCTGTCGCATCAAGCTTCAATAACCTAGCTTCAATTCACCTGGCCTTAGGTGACCTCGTGCAAGCGAAGGAGTATCAGCAACATGCTCTAAACATCGAAATCAAGAAGGTCGGCCCAAAAGATGTTTCTGTTGCAATAAGCTTCAATAATTTAGCTTCAATTTACCTGGCCTTAAGTGATCTCGAGCGAGCCAAAGAGTATCAGCAATATGCTCTTGCTATCCAGCTCGAAAAGTTCGGCCCAGAACATGTTTCTGTTGCATCAAGCTACAGTAACTTAGCTATAGTTTACCTGGACCTAGGTGACCTCCAGCAAGCCAAAGAGTGTCAAGAGCGTGCTTTAAAGATCCTGCTCAAGAAGCTCGGCCCGAAACATTATTCTGTTGCAGCAAATTTCAGCAACTTAGCTTCAATTTTCAAGGCCATGGGTGACCTCGAACAGGCCAAGGAGTATCAGCAGCGTGCTTTAGCCATCGAAATTGATAAGGTCGGCCCGCATCATATTTCTGTTGCGACAAGCTACAATAACTTAGCTTCAATTTCCAAGGCCGTAGGTGACCCTAAGCAAGCTATGGAGTATCAGGAACGTGCTCTTGCTATCCAATTAACGAAGCTTGGCCCGAATCATGTTTCTGTCGCATCAAGCTACAGTAACTTAGCCTCAATTTTTATGGCCTTAGGTGACCTCGAGCAAGCCATGGAGTATCAGCAGCGTGCTTTGAATATCCAACTCAAGATGCTCGGCTCTGAACATGTTTCTGTTGCATCAAGCTACAGTAACTTGGGTTCAATTTACCTGGATTTAGGTGACCTCGAGCAAGCAAAGCAGTTTCAGCAACGTGCCCTAGCTATAAGACTTCACAAGCTTGGCTCGGAACATGTTTCTGTTGCAACAAGCTACAGTAACTTAGCGTCAATTTTCATGACCTTAGGTGACCTCGAGCAAGCCAAGGAGTATCAGCAACGTGCTCTAGCCATCCAGCTTGAAAAGCTCGGTCCTGAACATGCTTCTGTTGCATCAAGCTTCAATAACTTAGCTTCAATTTACAAAGCCCTAGGAGACCTCGAGCAAGCGAAGGAATATCAGCGGCACGCTCTAGCTATCTTGCTCAAGAAGGTCGGACGAAAGGAGATCGGCCCATAAAATTAGTTCAGTAAATAGTCTTCTCCCGTAGTCCTGTTGTGGAAGCTGATCACGTAGTCATGTAAGAATAATTAAATTTAGATTTGTAGAACGCCTGTTTGCTTAGTCCTCCGCTCAAACCCTGTGAGAAATATGGGGAAGGATTTGAAAAACAATTAGTAATATCCAGTAGTATAGCAATGTTTTACGACTTCTCTTTGTTAGTAGGCAATATAAGGGGAATGTTAAGAAAGAATCTATTAATGAATATACTTGAATTCCTGACTTTAATCAAAGTCAAATTGCTTTGTCGCTGCAGTTTCTTCGCAGTAACTACTCCCTCAGTACACAGTTTCTAGTATCGTGGTGTTCGTTGTCAGTGAATATTTTGAAAGAAAAAAGTAATCTTCGAGATGGAAGACCCAGGTTGCAAAGAAAGTTAATGTTAACTAACATCTACTAGCCCGAAAAACATTTTTCACGAGCAGAATGTAAAAATAATTATTAATTATTCCTTTCTTAATTACACTGTAAGTTAAGTTTGGCTTCATTTATTCATTACAATCAGCTGTAGTTATTTAACAAAAGCAATAAATAACCGTAAAAGTGTGAACTATAAGTAGACCTGGTAAGATACTCTTGACACACTAGCACAATAATTCAGTGTTCACCTTTTGATTATAAATGCCTTTGTCTTGAAAGTCAACTCACAATGATAAAGTAAGGAGTTTAAGTGAAGCTAACGGTCCAAATATTAATGGTTAACCTCTTGTGAAAATGTACATACTAAATAGAGGTTCATGCTGTATTTACAACCAGTTCAGATACTCTCATTACATCGTGAAATCATTACAAGGTACAACAGGCTACTTGACGCTAATAGAACGGTCTTACAAAGCTATAACCGATGTGTATGTAAGAATCTCAGTCAACAAAGTTGATTTACAACAGTACTGTGCTTAAAATATGACAATATGTGCAGCAAACGTTCCAGAACCACGAGTTAAATCACTATTTACAGTATGTGTCTCTTCGTCTTTGCATCCAAAATCCAGTGGGAAATGGCAGGACCAGAACAGTATTCCTTGGTGGAAACATCAGAAGAACGAACCGTCATTAAATCTACCAAGCTTCCTTGTGAGATCCGTGTACGTACATTACTCTTAAGCTGATTCATGGCCGAGAAGCTCCTTTCACACTTGTCTGTAGATGGTGACAATGTCATCATAGGGTCAACAAGTACGAGACAGTCTTTCACGTCATCAGGTTTTGAAGCTAGAAGGTTTGCAAATACACCAACTGGATTGTTTGCCCTTTGTCTGCTGAGTCTGGTACGCAGCATGGGCCACCCAAAGTACTGAACGGGGGAACGAATTTCATTATGCCCATAGGCCGCTAGGGTCTGAGGCATCTCTCGTGGGTCGAATATTCTGAACAAGCTGTAGGGTTTCTCTTGAAGATTTCCAAACCTTGTCTTCAAGTAATTCAGGACTTCCGTAAGAAAAGTGTCAAAGTGTTGATCAAGCATATTGCCTGCATGTGTCAGTTTTAGTCGGTGCCCTTTGTCCTTGCCACACATGAACACTGCCGTTTCCTCAGAATATCTCTCCACAAACGTTCTGTAATGACCTCCCCTTTGCAGCTTCAACTCCTCTAACATGGTCACGGTCGTGTCTAGTTTGGCAGCTACGTCTGTTATGCAAAGTTTATCTTGTTGGAATGATTTACTCAGTCCTGACAAAATCTTCATCACATCCAACAAAAAGTACAGGTGTTTGACAAACTTCTCGGACAGAAATTGTTTCAGAATTCCCTTGGCACGTGCCCCATCTTCACCAGTGGATCCAGTTTTATGCTGCAGGTGCATAACAGTAGTGACATAGTGCTTCTCCAAGGCAGTAATAGCACGGTATCTGCTTGCCAGCCACCTTGTCTTCTGCAGACCGCTGTAATAGACCGCATCTTCATCGATTATATTGGCAATCTTATTTACCTCTCTTCGTCGTTTTGGAGAATAGTAATAAAACTTGTATACCTCTTTAACTGTATTCTCAAATGTTGGAGGGTAAGGGCACCTCTTCACAGCATCAAGTACAGCCAGTTCCAGTTTGTGAGCTACACAGTGGATGTTGCATATTGGGTGACCAACTTTATCCTCCAGCTTCTTACTCAGTCCACCCTTGGCCCCAATCATAACATTGGCCCCATCAAAATTGCAGCCCACTAACTTTTCACTCAACACACTTTCATCAACCTGTACAGCTTCAAGTCCTTTAGTAATAGCATCTGTTATACCTGTAGCATCGGCAGACTGAAGGGAGACAAGGTCAGAAAACTGTGTCGATGGTCTCCCATTTGAATCAGTATAACGTACAAAAACAGTCAACTGCTCTGTGACACTCTTGTCTGTGGCACCATCTGCCAAAACACACAGAAACCTGGCATCCCTGATTTCCTTTGCATACTTCTCCTGTTCAATTGCAGCAATGCTGGACACAATCTCTTTACATTTAATCTCATTGCGATAATTATTTCTTATGTCTAGACCATTCTTCTCTTGAAGATCACACAAACCCGTGAATTTTTTTAATGAGACCTTCCTTTGCCACATAATGAGCAGTATTGAACAATCTTTCCATTCTTGATTTGGTTTCTTCATCCAGCTTTGCAGATACTGTCTTCATCATTGTTACAAGGGGTTTGTCTGCATTTTCGTTGTCAACTTTCCATTTGTTCAAGCACTTTCCGTGGTCGCTAGATATGTCATGGGACTGGAGACTTTGTACGCGATATTTTCCAAAACCACCAGCACCTTTGTAAAGGGGACTTGAATTATCACAAATGTTTGGATAAGCGCGGCATACCTAAATGAAAATGTCAGTTGTCAACAGCTATAACAACAAACTGGTTTTGAACAAATCCTGGTAACATGTTACACTCAATTGTGAACACAATTATAGCTCTGTTTGAAAGGTTATATATGACGCCTGATGGTAAGCTCCATAATTCATAAACAACTTTGTATTAAGGGGTTAACCAGAGGTCTCGTAAGGTAGAGGTTAGCGGTATGCTAGGGCTGTGGCTTTTCGCGAAAGAGAGTTTCTGTCATTAGCAATAGTCTACGGTATTGTACAGTATTGTATTGTAGTCTACACTTCGTGGTGGTGCCTTTGATTATTGAAAATTGTGCAAGCTTGACCTAAACACAAAGACTGATTGAAATCAAATTCTTTTGTTGCACTTCACATACCTTGCAAAACATTGCATCGTTGATGGAATCATGCTCAACCCAAGGATACAATTCTTTCCAGTGGGCCTGAAAGACGCGCGGCCTCTTCATTTCATACTTCTCTTTCCTTGTTTTGTCATTCCTTTCTTTTCCTTCTGGTGAAGCTTTTAAGTGCGCTTTCTCTTCATAAACCTTTTTCTCACTCTTGTTCCCATGTTTTGGTGGATTGCGTTCATTCTCCTCCAAACACTGCTTCTTAACAGGCGGAGTACTTTCTTCCTCAGATTGTAGGGAGTATTGTTTTATTAAAAAATCACTTATTTTTCGTCGCTTTCTCTTTTGCACCCCATCACGCTGTTCTTACTCTAATGCTGTAGTTGTTGGGGGCTGTTGTGATACATTACCTTGGATGAATATTGGTACGAAGTGATTTGGCTCATACCAGCTCCCGGGGCGGTTGTCAAGGTTGCTGTCCCTGGACCGAAGAATCATCGCTGTATTGACGCTGATGTCTCGTTTCTTTGTACCATAATCTCGTGGCAAATTTCTTTGTGACAAAGGGGACGAGTATTTGTGTTGCATTCAGGATAAATAGTGAATATTGGCCTGCCAATAACAGTTGAAAGAGCCATTAAGTGCATCATTATGGACCATTTTTTGTCCCGGCACCCAGCAATAGCTTCACCTTTTACAGCCTCGATACGATCCTTTGTGTTCTCAAATACTTTAAGCCCACTCTCTGAACACTGGATAAACAAGCTTATCTCTGGAAGACCACAGTCGCTTGCAGCTTTAGGTAAGTTTGGGTGTGTTCCATAAAATGGTGCATTCTTATACAATTCAACCGCAGTTAGAAGCCTTAATAGGGATTTTAAGATACGGCGACTACGGACTACTGCTACGGATAAATATGCTACTGTGCATGATCAAAACCACGTGACTGTTCATTTTTCTCGCGTAGCCCTGCGGCTACGGTGAGTAGTTGAGCTGTTTCGCGTAGTCGGGACTACGGAGAACATTTTGCTCGTCTTTTGCCGTCTCGGTAATTCAAGAATCTCGTCTTTTCATAAAAACGTTTTCAATTCACCTGCTTTAAGTGACAGGGAAGCGAAATATGTAAGTTCTGCTTAGATTTACGCTTTTAATCCACTGTTGTGACTACATTTTTATCTAGCTAAGCTCATATTTAAATAAGCTTAGCTGTTTATTCGCAGAATTTGGATTGACGGTCTAAGAGATAAGAAATCATGCAGGTAATTTACTTTCTATTCGCACTTGAAAAGTTTCAATGTTTGTTCGAAATGATTAGTGTGTCTTTCTACTTGTGTAACCTTTATTTATGCGAGTTTTTGTATCGCGCCATTTGCTGAATGAAAATGATGTAAACATCTTCGAGACAATCGAAACACGACATTTCAATACTTCAAACTACATCAGATCAGTAGTCAGAGAAGTCCATCTTCTAAATCTAATAAATGAGCTATTACTATTTCTGTCGATTTCTTTAATATTTGACATAAGTATTCATGGGCGAAAAAATAAAACCTGTGTAACCAAAACTTTTTTTACCAATTTCACCCGACTTAATTGCTTCCTTCAAGTATGGAAGAATTTGTTCATTGTTCTAAAGATAAGATCACATGCAAAACTAACTTGCATTTGTGTGAACTGTGATGAAAACAAGAAAATCTTTACGTGTTGTCTCCCTCCCCGCGTCTTCTCTCGTAGTCTACTGTCTGTAGTGTAATCTTAACGTTCTATATTTGCACGACTCAACCCAGTGCTACAAACAAAGGACAACGCTCGTCCAGCCGTAGTTCGTAGTCCGTAGTCTCCGTATCTTAAACTCCCTAATAGTAGGGATAGATCTTCATTTCCGTTAAGGATAATTGAAACAGAATTATACAGACAGTTCCCATTACTTGTTGCTTTTTACGACTTCTATCCTTCAGCTTCAAGATTGCTTGGCAAATCTGTTGGTAGCAAACTTTGTCCAAGCTGTCGTCGCATAAATTTTTTAATTCGAAATACTCAAGGTTCTTTAACGCTTGGAGTTCAACGCTACATTCACTTGCGATGTCTTCAACTAGTTTAGCTGTTTTGCTCTCGGCGCTGCCACACTGTAGAATTTTTTTCCAAGTCCACCGTAACACGTGAATGATTAACATGCATTTTAGACATTTTACAATTTAGAAGAACATTTTTTAAGAAAAAAAAACGGCGTTGAAACCGTGAAACCAAAGTTCTCAATCGACAC